GGGCCAGATTTAGACCAAAGAACAGACCAATTCTTTGCCTTTGGATAAATGCAAGAGAAAAATACACTTAAACAGCATCTTGGGCTCTTAAAATGATAGGACAAGTTTTGAGAGCTCACAGTCCTCCAGAAATCCACAGCCAAATACAGGAGTCCAAGAGGAGACAAGATGCAAGGGAATATTTCAGATGGCTCACGGGTGATGAGAGCTGTTAAGAGATTTGTACAGTTTAGCAGGGTTTAAACAGCAAAGATTTAAATATCGAGAAGTAAGCAGGGGAGGAGTCACAGTACACAAACATACGTAGGTCTCCTCATGACAAGAGCCTCACAGCACCGATGGATATACAGAGAGCTATGGGCAAAGCAGACGTGAACTGAGGACCAGCATGAGAAAAACCAAACAAACAGCAAAACAAATAAGTGCATTCACTGCAAGACAAAGGACCTAAAAATTAAAAACCTGAAGCAAAGCTGGTGGTAAGGGAAAGAAAAAAAAAAATCTCTTGCTTATGTTGAAGAAAAAAAATCCTGACAGACATAAAAGGAAAAAAAAACACCCAATGCATCAGCATTTGGAAAACGATGCAGCATCTAGGAGGCCGAATGCATTTAGAAGAGAAAAGACAGCTCTTATGCCCCAACTTCCCTGTGGAACAAAGTTCCACTGCATGAGAAACGCCGATAAACGCAGGCTGAGCACCGAAACAAACTCTGGGCTCGGGGTGGATACAGAGAGATTCAGAGCAAGATTTTGCAATAATAAAACAGAAAATGAAAACCAAGAAGCCTACAGTCACTCTGGGGACCTACTGTAAGACTCTACCCAGAGGGGAGGCTGCACCTACAGCTGCGCCCCAGATGATAGCAATATTTAAAAACAAAAAGAGGAAAAACGAGGGCATGCAAGATAGAAACAGCAACCATCAGGGCAGAATCACAGGGCTTAGAGGAGAAATGCATGCCTGATACCAGCATAACGCAAGTGGTGAAGAGACCAGCTTTATAAGCACTGAGCTAAGGGAGCCAAGCATCCCCATGGCATTACCACACTGCTCGGAAAGGTGCTGCTGCCCAATCTCTCACCCAAGTATGCAAAACAAGGGATCTAGATAGATAACTGCTCCACATCTTCGTATTTTCTCTGTAAGGGAGAGAAAATTTGCTCCACAGAAATGTTTTTACGTTGACAGTGGCAAGCGGTTTTCAGGCTTCTGAGTTTTTACAAGAATATAATATTCAATGGCTCAACAAAATTCTTGGGAGCATTTCCAAGCCCCCAGAGCAGCCCGTTGCTTTGGCCCCTGCGCACTCAAATCCAAAGCGCCCCACATGGCCGTGGCAAAGCCCCGGTTTTGCAAGTCATAGGAGCCCCAGGACGCTCTCCCAGCACCCGAGAGGCGCCGCGGCGGAGCGGTAGCACCTCCCGCGCCCGGCAGAGAGGCGGCTTGGGGGGCCCCGTCCCCGCAAACCCCCGTTTCACTCAAGTT